ACCTTGCTAGGAAAAAGTTATTCATGTGGATAATAACCATATAAATAAATCTCCTCATGAGAACTAATAATATCTTGTAGTTTATTTATTAATTGTGTCATTAGCTATTTCTGCTATTCTTATGATTTAAGATTAGTCCGATAAGCGGAGCAATGCGAACAAATATGGTGGAGGATTTTAGTTTTTTGACAATTAACACATTTTATTAAGGGCTGATTAAGAGATTTTTTTTGGAAGGCTCAATTTTTGGGCCCACGACCTTTTTTAAGGCGAGTAGAGGATTTTCGACGAAAGGGAACTGCCATAATGTATTTTTTACTCAATATTAACTTGATGGTCTTGGCTTTGAGGAGCCTTGGGAGCAGTTATAGTCAATACTCCATTTTCATAACGAGCTTTAACTTCTTTTTTTTTAACCAGGGTTGGGAGAACAAACTCTCGATAAAATTTTCCGTAAAAAATTTCCGAATAATGTTGTTTAGCATCATCTTGTTTTTTTTCTTCTTTTCTTTCGCCGCTGACTTTGACAATATTTTCTTCGACTTCAATCTTCACATCTTCTTTTTTAATTCCGGGCAAGTTGACTTCTATCAAATACTTATCTTTCTCCTCAGTCAATTTGCTTTGGGGTTGAAATTCTTCTCACGCCTCGCTTAGTCCTGTAGTTGGCCATCAAAAGTCATTAAAAAAATTATCTAGTGTTCTTTGTAAATGTTTTAATTCTTTGTATTGATTTCTTTTTATTATGTTTCTGCTGTTCATATTCATTTTGATATTTCATTATTTTATCGGGTAGTTTTCTTTTTAGTTATTTTGGATTTGATAACTTTCTTTTTCTTACTAGGTTTATTTTTTAGTAAGTTAGATTTATGAGTTGGTTTAGATTGAATAATTTTCTTTTTCTCTTTGATTGGCATAATTATCTTTTTTTAGTGTGTTCTTCTCCTCTTCTTAATGGTTGTTTTTTCTTTTTCCTTTTGGTGTCTCGGGTTTTTTTAGTCATATTAATCTGGATATAATCTTTTCTATTAAAGAACTCTTGTTTGTTTCACCTTAAACAAATTTTTTACTGCTTCTTCCAACTCTTCTGAATTCTTATTTCTTAAACTTCATAAGCCCGCTCGTAATACTTCACTTTTAGAAGGATAAACTCCTCTTTTATTTAACTTGCTTTTCAAATTTTCCATTAACTCTGCCTCTTCATTAGATAAAACAATTGAGGCTTTGGTTGTCGCTAAATGAGAACCAGTAATTTCAACACCTTTTTTTACAACTCCTTTGGTTTTTTGTCAAGTAGAACTTTGGCGAGTTTGATTAATTTTTTCTTTACCTTTTTTGGTAGTTTCTTTCGTTTTAACTTTTAAAGAATTTTGATTTTCATTCATATTTGTTATAATTATTGTTAGTGTTTTAGTTATAAATAAAATGGGGAGCCTCCGGATGGCTCCCTGACTAATTCTGACCGCCAGGCTTAGTCGAGCCCCACTTTTTTATTCTTCGTAAAAGTCAAACCGTCCGAATTCATCATGAACTACTATGTGTTCTGCTTCCACTTCCCTTACTCGTTTTTTAGCTTCGCTTAATGCTTCTTCCCAAGTATCAAATGAACATTTGGACTTGCTTGACCTTTTGTTGTTTCTGCCATAATATGCTTATTAAATTTTTATTCGTCTTTATTGTCAGATTTTTATCAGCCCTGACTAACTGAACTAATTGCTTTTTTTAATAGTATTCTAATCAGTGGCAATTAGTAAGAAATTCAATTAGAATACTTTTTTTGTCTCTTTTTTTGGAGAGAAAAAGTACCAAGAAGTGCTCTCTTAGCAAAAAATAAAGTAAAATAATGACTGTTTTTTTTACCATGGACAAAGAGCGGTGGGATAAATAAGAACCTGGGTGGTAAACTTTAACCAATAACTTTTTCAACATGATCTTTATTTTATATAAATTAATATGGCGGAGTGAGAGAGATTCGAACTCTCGCGCTGACTATTAGGCCAACCTAGTTTCTTAGCAGGAAACCCTCTTAACCACTTGAGTATCACTCCTTATACCGAACTGGCGCTATTCTATATTATTCATTTTTAGTCTATATCAGCAAAAGGCATGACAAAAAAAGAAACTATAAATAATGGAGTTCCCGTTGCTAACTCATCAACAGAAAAGCAACTAACTAAAATTACCGGAGTTCTCACTTCTCAAATTCAATTGCGAGGTGAAAATGCTAAAGAATATTATTATTTTCATAATAAGCCAATATTCCTATCATAACCGCATTGTCAGTAGAATATTTAATTTCAGGGATAAATATTTTTATCTCCTTATTCCATTTTTGAATACTGTTTGTTAAATAATTACGGAAAAATTTATTAGCAATCACCCCCCCTCCTATAATAATGATTTTAGCCGGGGTAATCAATCAAGCCTTTTTTAATTTTTTTACTAATATTTTGGCTAAAACAAATTGGAGAGAGCAAGCCAAATCATTAATATTCATATTTTTACCTTCTTTATTTACTAAGCGACTGATTTTACTTTTTAAACCACTAAAACTAAAATCGCAACTTTTATCGTTTTTGGGAAATGGTAATTGATAAGTATTTTTTCCTGACAACGCCAACTTTTCGATAAGAGGACCACCGGGATAATTATAGCCTAATAAAATCGCCGCTTTATCTAAGCACTCACCAATCGCATCATCCAAGGTTTCCCCTAAGAGAATAAATTCAAAATGATTATTTAACTGGTAAATTTGGGTATGACCCCCGCTGATAATTAAAGCCAAAGCTGGAAATTCTCATTCCTTTTCCTGATTTATCAAACTAGCATAAATGTGGCCTTCTAGGTGATTGATGGGGATAAGTGGCTTGTTTAAGTAGAGAGAAAGAGTTTCTGCTACTATCTTGCCAATTTGGAGACAAATGATTAGACCTGGCTTTTCTGTGTAAGCAATGTAGTCAATTTTATCAGGAGAGATTTCTGCTTCAGATAAGGCTCAGGAAAGCACCTTTTGGATATTTTTAATATGTAATTTAGCTGCCAGGCTTGGCATAACCCCCCCATATTTTTGTTGTTCTAATATTTGGGAAACGGTAATGTTGCCGAGTATTTTTTTATTTTCTAAAATGGCAACACTAGTTTCGTCGCAACTGGTCTCAATGGCCAGGATTATCATATTTTGGTTTTGTTTTTCTCAATTTTGCTATTGGCTAATTTCTGACCCGAATACCAAAAAAAATATAAGGTAGAAAATCAGAAAATAAGCACTCAAAAGAAAATAACTACTAATCCCCAAAAAATATATTCAAAGTCTTTAATTCCCACCCAATTAAAAAAAAAATAAGGATAGTGGGGGGATTTGCTATTAAAAATGTATTTTTCCGAACCTGGAATTAAAGGGCGCAAGAACACAAAAAGAAAGTAAAAAAGCGGGTGGCAAAAACTATAAGCGAATAATTTCCGGCGTCCTAAGTAAGTTTTGACTAAATTAATTTTTCGACGGGCAAAATAAGTAATAGTTAAAATAGGGGCTAAATAATGTCAAACAATAAAATAAAATCAGGCGAAAGTTTTAAAATTAACTTCTCAGGCCAATACCTTAATAATTTCCTCGTTTTTTGGCACGGGGGCTAGACCAGCTAGCGCACTAATAGTAAAAATACCAATAGTAATAACACTGGCGTTAATTACCACTAAGTCAAATACTTTGTCAAAATAATTATCGACACCTTTTTTAAATAACTTATAAATAAAGTAAATAATAGTAATTAAAGAGGTTTGAACGCACCATCAAGAAAAAAAATAAAGCCAATAATGACCTTCTTTATATCCGGCGGGTCATTTGCGAATAATATCACCATAAACCGAACAGCCAAGAGCAAATAAATGACAAAAAATCGCCATCGCTAATAAGGAGAAATTGTTTTTTTTCTTTATCATAATTATTAATGTATATTTAATAAGGATACTATGGCTTTTGCTTCCCCCAATTATTTTCGGGGCTTTTTTCGGGGACGTGTGCCATTAAAAGGCAGTGGGGTTTTATCAATTAACTCTTCCACTTTTAAAGAGTCTTTTTTTAGAAACTCTTTTATTACCGCATCCCGGCCTTTCCCAATACCTTTTACTTGTAATATGATACTAAATATTCCGTATTCGACAGTTTTTCTAACAATTTCTGTGGCAATTTTTTGGGCGACATAAGAGGTAGCTTTTTTAGCGCCTCGATAAGCAAGACTTCCCGCACTACATTGAGTTAGTACTTCTCCATTTAGTTTACAAAGACTAAGAATAGTGTTGTTGAAACTGAAATAACCATTAATAATGCCTCTTCCTTCCACAACTTTTTTTATTTTTTTGGTTTTTACCACTTTTTTTGGATTTTTTTTTGCTTCTGCCATTTAATTAATTTTATTGTTCTTCGGGATTTTCTTCTTCTTCTTGGAATTGGGGGCGTCGGCGCCGCTCATTTTGATAATATTTCTTTCTCTTTTGGTCGCGAGCTTTATTTTCTACTATTTGTCGCAAATCATTTTTAAAATCTTGACTATCAGGAATAATTTTTTCTCCTCCCGCTTTGGCTTTGATAGCTAATGAAGTTTCAAGAGCTTGCTCTAAATCCGGAAACGCAAATCCTACTTCGTGACTCTTGTATTCTTGGGCTATTTCTTTGGCAAACTGGCTAGCCTCCGTTCAATAATTAGCCGGTCATTCCACTACTGTTCCTAAATCACTTTTTTTTTTATCTCATTTGTCTTGATTGTTTTCAGTTTGATTTTTATAATATTTGTAATTTTTTTTCATCTCTTTTTCTAAGTTATTGACTAGGGTCGCTACCTCATCACCTTGGGGATAAGGGATTTTAATTTGTCGCCCTAAACGCCCAGGTCGGGTCAAAGCTCCGTCCAGCATAGAAGGATAATTAGTTATACCAACAACAACAATATTTAGGTTCTCACGGTTTATCTCGTCGAACATTTTTAAAATGGCATTAACCTCATCATTAGCGGAAGTGTTGCTGCCACTAGGGTCTTTAACTCCTACTGAGTCCAATTCATCAATGATAATTGCTATTGGTTTAATTTTTCCTTGGTCAGTTCCCTCTCATCCTAATTTTTGTCGTTCCCAAGCCAAGCGGGCTTTGGCTTCCTCTAAAACTTGCTTAACTTTGGTAACTCCTGAACCCACATAGGTCTCAGTTTCAAAACTAACAAAACAAAAACCACAAGATTCATTTTCAGCAAAGATTCGGGCTAAATGGCTTTTACCAGTGCCCGGCGGACCATAAAAAAGGGCGTGCTTATTAATGGCAGAGCTGGCGGCTGTTTGATATTGCGACAGATAGCGAAAAGCATTAATTCAAGTTTTAAATTTTTTTTGGGTGTCTTGCTGAACGATTACATTTTCTAATCAGCTAGCAGCTGTGGTGGTTGGCTCCTCAAATTCACCACTATCATATTGTTTCTTATGGCGACGCCATGGATGAGGATTACCACCACCCCTGCTTGGTTTTTTGCTCGCTAATTCCTTATTAATTTTTCTAATTTTGTCATCCATACTAGAATTACTAATCATAATAATCAACAGCAGCAAAAAAAAACTGCCACCAACTAGATAGTAGATTTTATACTTTCTTCAATGGCTTTTAGCCGAGGGCTCTTTACTAATTTTTTTTGTGAAAGGTGAATTATGATTATTTTTGATTTTGATTATACTACTCACTGATAAAAATACTTAACAGAGAGAGAGAGAGAGAGAGAGAGAAGAATCCCATTTTCTTCCTAAGAAAAGTCGCAGACTTTCAATGAAATAAACCCCAGCTTCTCAGGAGGAGAGACAAACTTATATAAATTAAATCTCTTTCTCAACCACTCGCCCTCTTATATTATTTTTTAAGTTTGGCGACTATTTGG